GATCGCACTGGTCGCGCGAGTGGCCAAGCTCGTGTTGCTACTCCTCAGCTGCTGGTGGATCTCCAGGGCGCTTGACGTCCATCTTATCTGCTGGACGGGTCTTGGGGTCTTCAAAAGACCGGTCTTTGTTGGGGATTCTTTTTGGATTGGAGGCATGGATTGGATGTCATCTTCCGACATTGTCACTTCTATAGAGGGAATTCAGAATATTTGATATCACTCAACCTAGGAGCCTATTCATCCACTCGCAACGAGCAACTAGCATGCTTAGCATGCTTGTCTCGGAGTTAGAGACTGATCCAAAACCTACATGAGTCAACTTCCCATCATGCTCAGAGACCAAGCAGTTTCCTCCACACCTCGTCTCGGAGACTCAGCACCAGCTTTGGAAAAATGCTACCAGCCTTGACGCCTCAACCCATGGTTGTTTTCGGTTTTTTCGACGCCAAGGGGCGTTTTCATTTTCTGCTGGATGAAGCCTGAGTGTCTTGGATGGGTTTGCCATCCATGAAGAACAAAACCCATGTGCAAGATCGCCAACGAGTGCTTGAACATGTGCCCGTTGGCACAGCCCGTTTCAGAACTGCAGGGATATGCCCATAAATTATCATAAAACCCTATTGCCCTGCCATGGGATGTGCACGCTTTAGATATCCGTCTCTTCCATAACTTCTCAAGTGAGTCTTCAGATGGAGTGTAAAATCTCATCCACCGGCAACATTGGAAAAGTGGAGCCAAACTGGCGAGCGGGGGCTCCCCAAAACTGTACGTGGGTAGTGCGGGTAGCACCCGCTGCCCTCGAGAACCAAAACGAGAGTGGATGGTGCAGTCTGCTCCATCCAGTGTTGTGTGAAACGGAAGATTCTTCGTGCAAATTACTATGTTGGCAAGTTCGATGCTTGCTTCACTCAAGCCAGTGAGCCTTCCTGGCTGACTGTGCATGCTTCTCTGACTGACGGAACATGTCCTCAATGGAGAGCTGTTCCTATCAAGCAACCCTTTAAGAAGCAAAAAGTAAATAATAGTAATAATAATAAAGTAAAATAAACAACTAAATAACACACACAAAAAAAGAACAATAAACAAGGCAAAAAGGACCACTATCTCAACCCTACTGGCAGTTCACCAAAAAAAGGGGGTTCTAGCTCCGAGCGACCTGGAAGATGCGGCCACCGGATCTTGGGCGGCGGTCGCTTCGTTGCATTGCGTGAATTCACCTGGCGGACTAGTGGTGGGCAGTGACCTCCGGTGACCTCCAGTTGGAAACCCCCCCCAAAGAAGAAGGGAAAACTGAGGTCAACTTGGTCAACTGGTGGGTTCAAATGATGTTGCAATGCTTCGTGGATGATTCAACCATCAAATCCCCACCATCCACGATCCTCTTTTCGGAGTTCGGGTCCTGTTCGCTTTGGAAGCGAAGCACAGAGACCGCACCGAGCTCCGAGCTCGACACGAAACAGCACCAAACCGAACTGGACCGAAGCATCGCATGCGAAGCTTGGACTACTTGGACCACGAAGCATTGCAATCTGTGACTTAAGCTACAGTAGACAGCTTGCAGGGCTGCGTAAAGATCTTCAAAGCTGGTCAAACACCCTGATGGAAACAAAGCCCTGTCATGATGAATCAATGTTCTTCCCAAAAAGTACATGTGGGCGTAGAAAGTCCGCAAAGCCGAGCGAAGATGCATAATTTAAGTACCGTTTTTCTCACTGGATTCATACGAGTTGCCTGCGCATGACGCTGCTTGACGTCATTCCAAGCCGGAAGCCTTGGTTTTGTCCAATGTGGCCCACCAGTGCACGGAAAACATTCTGGCAGGCAATTGTCATGAAGAGTATCTTTGTCGTAACATGTATTTTGGATGCTGTTCGCACAGTCAGTCAGTGGTTGTGGCTGTAGATGCTATCATAGAAATACCCATAGTAGTCATGCCAGCTGCTAAAAAAACTCGCCAAAGATTCATGTTTTTCATCTCCAAGCACAGATTCCAACAGTGGCGACTCAAAGCTAGGACCACGACGCTTGGTATTGCCTGATGAGGCTGCAACTCTTCCAACACATTACTGTCTAATCAGTCTAATCGAATAATGTCAATGTAAACATTGCTGCAAAGGCGCAGCAAAACGTCAAGAGCAAAGCTTGCAAAGAATGTAACGCTTCTGCACAAGAATGGATGATGCCATCATTGCACAATGTCGAACAAGGTGAGCACCCCAATCATGTGTGTTTCTCGTTCTTTTTTGCGAAAGCAAACAAACTCAATGAAAGTCCACCTGCTCATCATCCCTCCTCGTCATCCCTCCTCATCCCTCCTCATCCCTCCTCACGTCTCTTGTCCCCCATCGAAGGTTTTCCGGCACGTGCCACGGCACTCCAATGCTGCCAAGGTGCAGCAACACCTCCACTGGAACCTCCAGCGCTTGCATCGGACGAAGAACTGAGTCTAGTCTAGCGAACCTTGAAGGATTGAATCACTTTCAGAATAGAAATGCACATTGACAATTCACTGCTTCTTCAAGAGTGAACTTCAAGTCCCCATCTCGTGAGGCGGCCAATTCCTTGTTCCCGCGATACTCTCGCGGCCCGTCCCATTCGCCCAACTCCACTCCGCCTTGGTGCCATTCCTCGCATCGCCTGGGGCGGCCGTGAAGTGCGGAGTGATGCTTGGGAGGTCTGCGTGGAGGTGATCACACAGAGTCCGTCAGATTTCGGTGAAGAGTTATATATACCTAGAACCTGAATGACCTTTATTTTGGACCACCAACCACTCAAAATAAGGTCTTTTCCTATCAAAACAGAGGTCAAATGGGTTCTAGGTATACGGTATACCTATAGTATCCTATTAGTATCCTATTAGTTACGGTGTTGGCCACGCGATCTGACGCGAAAGTCTCCACCTCTCCTGACATGTGTTCAGACATTCTTCTCCCCCGCCGTCATTTGGCCTCTTCGCAAAGGCTTTTTCCCAGACCTGCAGGCTGTGCCAACACAGGTGCTGGAGCACCCGATGGGAAACGAGTCTACAGTATCCTGTTCCTCTTTTCCCCCGTGTGAATTCCCCACACATGCAGAAATAGAAGTCGCACTCAGTTCAGCACCAGAAGCTTGACCAAAGCAACGCTCTGAAGTATCCAATGCGAGGTCTTGCGACTTGCACTAAATAAACAATCCGTATTCCCTTGCTTCTGGTAAGAAGGAAAAACACACATTCTGAATAGTACCTGTAGACCCCATACTGCTAGAGACAGAATATTAAAAGCTCCACCCACGCCTACGCTCACACCCAAAGCAACGCTCTGGCCTGACGGGACCATCACTCACGTCGCGAAACGCCACCAGGCGAAACGCCACCACGACCAAGGCCAAACCTGACGCCGGTACCGGTGGCGAAACCTCCTCGGTGTGATGCGGGTGGACATGACCTCCTTCGGTTGAGATACGGGAAGGTCGGGCAATGATTTACTAACAAGAAGCTACTAGTAACAAGGGCATTACTAGTAGTAGCAAATAGCTACTAGATGCTACTAGTAGCTTCTTGTTACTAGTAGTAATGCACTTGTTAGTAGGAGAATGAAGCTACGCAGCTGTGGAGGAGGCCCTTTTTTCACATTGGCCCCTTGGTTTCCAAAGGGTCTAATCAGTCTAATGCCTTCTCTCGCAGCCCCAAAAAAGGAATTTTGAAAAAGAACTGGACTAATCCTTCAAGTAGGCCAATCATTCCAGAACAAGCTTTAGTGGGGAACAAGGTTGCACCAGGAAGATTGACATCACAGTTCCTAGAAGCAACACCCTATCACTCCTGTGAATGATGAATTTCCATGACCACACACAACCATTTCGAGTATTCGGGGGGACCATTTAGCAATCAATCATGTCCGCTGAAAGTCGGTGTGTCATGTCCGCTATTAAGGTCAAGAATCCCCATGTCGCTGGGCGTATCAGAACTTCACACATCAAATCTGTACTCATCGCTGTGTGCGATATATATATATATACATATATATATATATACATGTATACTACATAAGTATGACCTTCGAAGCTGCAATGTTGACCCCTTTGAAGTGAGTCCAAGCAGCAAGAAAGTAGCAAACTGCCTCTCTTATGAAGCCGTAGCCGTTCCATGGCACAAGCGGCCCCACGACGGGTTAGGTCGGCACCACTCGGTGTTTCACCACCGCGACGAAGAAGACGACCGGGGATGAGCCCCGAGGTGAGGAGCGATCGGACGCTACGTTCGGGGATTATATTGATATTTTAATAGGGTATAATAGGGTCAAAGAAGGGGCTCTTGTTGGACATTGAGGTCTACTTGACTTTGGTTGAATGCTCACCATACCCGCGGCTTGGGAGACTCCTTCTTTTACTTGAGGCCCCTCCAAAGTTCATGCGGAAAACCACCAACCTTCAGCAGCACCTGAGGGCAGTAGTTTTGCAAGACACATCCCTTGTCGTTTCCAAGTTGATGGACTACAACAAATCCTTGAATCTTCGAAACACCAAGATCTTTATATCAGAGAGTGGAACCCATCCACTGCCATCCACTTGATAATTTGATCTCTCTGCACATTCGTTCCACTTAACTATCCATGATGTGTCTTTGAGCCCTCAAGCTGCCACACCGTCGGTATTGGCCGAGCTGCAGCAACGCCCATGCACATGCCTGCTGCTGCCTCAACCTGTAAGATTACTCTATAAGATGATTCCTAAGATTGCGAGGTCACAACTCTATATTGGGGAGAAACATTGTCGCAGAGATGTCAGGAGCTCCAACATAGACCAAATGACAAACCACATCATGTTGCAGTTGCCAAATTCTCAACTTGTCCAGATCTTTGTCATTGATGTGTCCAAACCTACGATCCTCCCACCAAAAGAACTCTCCGCATCTTGGTGCTCACCTTCCTGAACACCTCCCTGGCTGAAAAAGGAACGCCAAAATTCAGTCACCGCCGTCCCAGTGACCGCCGCTTTCCTCATCCAGCCACGGATCCGTCCTTGGAGCGCCTGGGCCTCAACGTCCGCTTCAGCTCCTTCGCCTCGCCCGACGGAGTCGCGACGGAGGCGCGACCGGCGCGAGTCGCCACGCGACCGGTTCGGTGGGAGCCTGGCTCCACTCATCAAAGTGAGCGTTGGCAAGAACTGGACAGGTTGGAAAGGTCATCATTCCAAGAAAACATCCGAACATGTAAAGTAGCTACACAGCTACACTATGCGCCTATTGGAAGGTCAGTGGATCTAAGGGTGTTGCATGGGGTAGAGGACGCTACTAGGTCAGTGGTTTTGACCGTTGTTCCAGGCACACTCCTGTCACCCCGCTTCGGCGGGCGCGCACCTTTTCTGCCTGGGCGAACTCCTTCAAGGCCTCAAGAGAGGTGAGGGGCCCGAGGCCCCCCAGGGGCAAGGGCCGTATGAAGGGAGTTCGCTGGTCACAAAGAAGAGGAAAGAGAATGAGAACATGATGGATTTGGTGGGAGAACAAATGATCACAGGCACAACCTGTACACAACCTAGCAAAGCCTGGCACAACTTGTAGAACAAGAACGACGAAGGCAAAGCACTTCCCGCTTTGCCACCAAGAGAGAAAGAAGTCTTTGAACGGATTCCCTTCGTCTGATGAATTGCTGTTCAAGTTCGGATGCGCGAAAGACCCCGCAGCACAAGTGCGACGGCTGGGAAGGACTGCTGGAGCCCCCCACGTAGCTAGCAACAGCGCTGTTCCTTCGCTTGGCCTGCATAAGCCCCTACGAAAGGCAAAGCAAACGAGATCGGACACTAGGTTGGTGTGAATAATACATTACAGCAACACCTCAAGTTTAAAAACCAACAAACAAGCAAGCTGGTTTTGCTGTTTTGCAGTTTGACCAGTCTTTCTTCATGTTCAGTCAGCAAAGGCCATCCCTGGGTTGGGACTCTTCGAGATAGGTGTGTAATGACAAAGATAGGAACACCTCTCAAAGACCCCCCCCTTCAAAAAAGGAAAATATATAGACCCAAAAAAACCATTGGCCAGGAGGTATCCCTTTTAAAAAATACACCCCCCTTATCTGTTGGGAATTGCAACCTTTTAACGTACCTTCGCCTTTGGCCCCCTTTTGCCCTGACAAGTATGCACCCATCTCGCCTCAGCGTGCTTCGGAGACCTTGCCACAAAGCTATGGCAAACATGATCCAAGTTCCTCGTAATGGTGAAGTGAACATTTCTTGACGGACACGAAGCATGACTTCTCAATTAAGAGGGGCCATGATTGTGATGTCGTATCAAAGAAAAAGCTCCCTTGACTGCATGAGCTCCATTCTTCAACGGACATACCCATGTCCCCATGTCGTGAGTTGGTCGAAACACGCAAGAGTATTTGGGTCGAGCAACACCAACCATACAAACCCCAATCTGGACCAAATGGACCTGAATATATATATATATATGTATATGTATAACTGTATAATTCATGTTGACCAACCAACTCAGTTTAAAGCATACAAGATCATACATGCACAAACACAAGCTGGGAGACCCAAATCATTTCCGACCATGCGCCAGGCGTCGATTGGAGCACAAACCCTACTTTTGAGCATTTGGCCCACGCAAGTTCTCTTCTCTTGCGAAATTTGCAGGTAAACCGGTTTGGGGCTTGAAAGTCACAGACTTTGGTGACTTTTTTCATTCATATAATTCTTCCTCTACCCAACTGGCATTAAAACAGCTGACCGTTCCGGCCACGGCCAAAGGCTTCGACCGTTCCGGGGCCCCGCTGGGCCGCCGCACTGCGCCGCCAGGGATTCCAAGACCCGTTGCTCCCAGGAAGCCGTCGGCGTCTCATGGGCGCCTAACGCGCGGCTCCGGCTGCGAATGGGTCCGAGAAGAACAAAGAATTGTCCCTGAAGTCGATTTGCTAAATGCTTAACTTGCATGGAGTTGGTTCTTGTGATGCTATAGGTGGCCAAGGGTTGAACCAGTTTTTCGGAGTCAAATTGGTCAAAGCGTTTGCAACTTCTAAAAGAGCGCAGAAGCGTGCGCCATGGAAGTCTTTTGTTGAACCACGTCGTGAGATGGAGACGGACCCGTGCCCGTGACATCGTTCAGCATGGTGATGAATGCTCTGTGACCTCGTGAGAGAGCCCTCCAGACCTTCTTGCTTCCAACCTTTTTCTATTAGGAGCGATCGGACGCTACGATCGGGGCTCCTGGCCTTACTGCTAGGAACAAGAAGCTACTAGGAACAAAGGGCTTCGCTACTAGGAGCAAGGACGCTACTAGCGTCTCCCAAAGCCCCAAGGGTTGTTTGGAACGAAGAAGGCCGCCTTCGCTTTCTGGCACTTCTGAGGATTTCCTGGCGGTCCAGTAATACGAACGATGGCAGTACTTAGCTGCAAAGATTCTGCTTTCGGTCATTCGAGTTCAAGGGCTTGTCAGGCATCTCTCGCAACACGTAAAGGTATGTAAAGGATGCCATTTGACTGTCCAATGCCACCAACCGTATATAAAAAGATTGTTGGCAAATGTTCCGCGAGTGAACACCTGCACACAATTTGGGTAAATAATTCTTACGTTCCAAAGAAACTTCTGATCAATGTGCGCGTGGTTGGCTGGTGCAGTCTGTCGCCACAGCCCACGCCTCGGAGCTGCCACCGAGCTGGAGGCCGCCGCGGCCGCGGGCCCCACGGGCACGGCCGCGGGCTCCAAGCGCTGGAGCTCGGACCTGGGTTGGGCTCCCCGAGAATGCAACCGAGAACATCTCTGATAGAGTAGGACGAGTCTAGAAAATCTCGTCCCAAAAATCTGAAAAATGAATGCTCAAATTTGGATCCATCCCCTAAAGTCTGAGTCTAACTGGGTCATCCGCCTGGCAGAATTGGTTGCTTGGCATGAGAAAGACAAGGATTTGGAATGGACTTGGGATTGTTTGTGTGAACAGGCCCCGAACAGCCATCTGCACATCCACTGTCAACTCACTTTTCACGAAGCGACAAGATGTTGACAAGATCATACAACATGATGTCCTAATTGGGTGTGTATTCTAATAGGGAGATCCCCTTTCTCGCACCTGGCTGGGTCGACTGGTCTATTTCCCGAACCTGTCAGGAACTTCCAATGGGGGTCCGGTCTCGCTGCACGTCACTGACCCTGAGCACCCTCACTGACTTGGGTGCAGGGAAGAGACAAATGCAGTGATACAAACAGATGGGCCCCTTGAACTGGATCTGGGGCTCAGGAAAAACAAAGCAGTGAAAGCATTCCAACCGATCGTGATTCCCAGTTTTCCAGGCATCACCACCACCACCATCACTGATGCCAACCGATGTGCTAAGCCTCATGACGTGGGTAGCTTTGACGTCTGGCCGGAAACCGTCCCTTGCGCCTGGACCGGGCCGCATCAACGGTGTCGCTCCGACTGCGATCGCGAACTCGTGCTGCTTCATTGTTGGGTGGCCCTGGACGTCTAGATCAGGCAAGAACCAATTTCTCAAACAACAGGTCCTCGGTCCACTGGCCTGGTTGTGGAAGTCCTGTTGGCACGGGAGGCAAGAAAGGCTCTGCACAGGGAATGAAAGGCATGTGGCAAATGTTTGGCCTTTTTGCTGTGACCAAGTGCTGACTTTGAGAAAACTGGTTCAAAAAAGAGTCATTGTAGATCCTTGTAGAGATTCCCTCTTCAAACTCCTTTCCGCTCACACACCATGAAGAGTTCTGATGAAGCAGGGCACTCACACTGAGCAAAGCACAGATTCCTCCAACAACTACAACAGCAAGCTCTAGAAACGAAATGTTGAAATGTTATCAGCTCAAAGACACTTTCAGCAAGCAGTGCCTGGCACTCTATCTGGAACCGCACAACGAGCCGGTCGCTCTGAAGAGCTTCAGACCTTTTTTTTTCAACAGGCTCTTTGCCTTCAAAAAGTCACCTGAAGAACGGAGCAGTTGCATCCGTCATGGCCATAAAGCCAAAATGCTGAGAACTAGTTGTACGAGGTGTTGTTTTCGATTCCTGCACAGCTCAGCTGTGCCGATCATGCAGCTACCAAAGACAGAGGCAAAGCTAGTCAGCCAGAAGATACCTCGGTCGGTTGGTTGCACAAGTTTGAGCGACCAACAGCCTCAAGAGAAGCTGACAGTAGCTTCAGCAAACATGGTGAGTAACTGAGTAACTCTCTGGAAATCTGGAAGACACTGAGGAGAAAGAAAGGGACAAGTGACTCTTCTTCTCCAGGTGACTCACATGAAGGGCCAGGTCTTGCCAGTGATGGCAGCCTGGCTGAAGACAATGCAAATAGTCGCCTTCAATCTTAAGTTCAGTTGACGAAACGAAAGGTTTGATATCGTCGAGCAACAAAGCTCAAAAGACTTAGAAATAGTTATATTATATATATATAAGAAATATGAAACACGGAAAGCACCTCGTGTCCGGCCGGCGCCTGGGTGACAATGCCGCTGAAGGCGAACATGGCCAAACGGCCGTTCTCGAGCTCCTGACCAACAAGCTGTCTCATCGTTTCGTCGACATCTATGCTTGGAGGACAGTGTCCACTGCTGCGGCTAGAGTGCTGCCTTCTTTGTCAATCTGCCACACTGGACATTGCCGTTTAAAGTCCAGTTCTTCAAAACAACAACCAAAAGCTGTTGCCGAAGTGGCTTGCTCGAGATGTCCTGCCCCTCCCCCGAAAAGGAGGGAGCATTGCGAGGATTGATGAACTTTGACAATATAGGTACCCGGTACCCGTATGACGGCGCGTTGGCAACCTTGTTGCCCTTCTTCACTGCGTGTTGTTTTAACTGGTGATTGCTACATATTGCTACTGTGCAAGAGTGCCTTTTTGAAGAAGGTATATTCCAAAACCATAAGTCGCGTACTACGCAAGCAACATCGCCATGTCCCGGTTCTTCTCCTTCAATCGCATGTCCTTCTCCTTCTCAGGCTCCTGCGGGTCCAGTGGGTCGCGGCTGGCACCGCCCGCGACGCCGAAGGCGGTTGGGCCGTTGGGCTGAGTTTCTGATGATAAGCAAATGGCCTGCAACCTACTAGCGTCCTTGCTCCTAGTAGCGATGCCAGGAGCCCCTAGTAGCTTCTTGCTCCTAGTAGTAAGGCCAGGAGCCCCTAGTAGCGTCCTTGCTCCTACTAGCGATGGCCAAGTGCAAAGACATCGGCTTCCTTGGGCAGGAAATTCTTGCCCACGAAGAAGTCTCCAGCATCCCGGTTCACCTGTGGTCGGTCGCCCCGGTCGCACATCACGAAATCCGCCGACCCCGGCCTATAGCCAAAGCCTAGGCGGGGAGGCGCCTGGGACACCGCAGGGTGAAGCAGTTGGCCAAGTCTTCAAACCCCTCGGCAGCAGGCCTGCCTCTTCTCTTCTAATCGCAGGCCTGCCTCTTCTCTTCTTATGGGCTTCCAAAAGCGACGTTTTGGCCTACTCCTGCACCGCAGCCTTGCCCTCTTCCTCTTCTCGGCAGCTCGCAGGCCTGCCTCTTCTCTTCTTATGGGCTTCCAAAAGCGACGTTAGGCATTTTGCACC